TGCAGTCTCCTTGGCCCTTGGTGTGCCCTCTCCTTCCTACATTATCCTGCTCTTCTCCCGTCTCCTTCGTGTCCCCTCCCTTTGCCCCATGCAGTCTCCTTTCCCCTTGGTGTTCCTCCCCCATCCTACCTTATGCCACTCTCTTCTCAATTATGATCCGTCTTTCCGTCCCTGTGCCCTTCTATGTTGCCTCTCTCCTCCCTTCTGGCAGGATCCGTCTTTGCCTCCCTGCGCCCTACTACGTCACCTCTCTCCTCCCTTGTGGCGGGATTCGTCTTCCCGGCCTCCCCTTCAACTCTGGAAATCAACACTCGATTTGATACCTACTGTGCACTGATTGGGCCTCGCTCCGTCACTCACCAAATCCGCAAATGGTGATTTAGACCACCCAAACATTAACAAGTTTAAAAGCCTCTCAAAAAATGTTGTACACCTTATCTACAGACACAGAAAGAGAGAGAGATAGCGAGAGAGAGGGAGGGGACAAATCAAAGTGGAGGAAAGGCCTCCTCCTTCCTTCCTCCTTGTCCCTTCATGCTCACTGGATCCATCGCTGCCCTTCCTGCTCTTCGTCTTCGAATTCTGCCCTCCCACTTTCCCCCTCCCTTCATCTCTTCGTCTTCGCGTTCTGCCCTTCTGCCTCTCCCGCTCCCTCCATTTCCTCGCTGCTCTTCCTGCTCTTCGTCTTTGAATCCTGCCCTCCCTCTTCTCCCCCTCCCTCCATCTGCTCGTTGCTCTTCCTGCTCTTCGTCTTCACATCCTGTCTCCGTCTTCTCATCCGGTCCTTCGGCTTCTCCCCCTCGTTCCATCTCCTCACTGCTCTTCGCATCCTGTCTTTGTCTTCACATCCTGCCCTCCCGCTTCTCCCATCTTCGCACTCCCGCGTCTCCCCATCCCTCCATCTCCTCGTTGCTCTTCGCATCCTGTTTTCGTCTTTGCATGTCCTCGCTGCTCTTCCTGCTCTTCGTCTTCACATCCTGTCTTCGTCTTCGCATCCTGCCCTCCGATTCTCCCCCTCCCTCCATCTTGTCACTGCTCTTCACATCCTGTCTTCGTCGTCGCATCGTGCTCTCCCGCTTCTCCCCCTCCCTCCGTCTCTTCACTTTTGCCTCCCGCTTCTCTCCCTCCCTCCATCTCTTCATTTTCGTACTCCTGCTTCTCACCCTCCCTCCATCTCCTCGCTTCTATTCCCGCTCTTCATCTTCACATCCTGTCTCCTTCGCATCCTGCCCTCCCGCTTCTCTACTGCTCCTCGCCCTCCCTCCATCTGCTCGCTGCTCTTCCTGCCCTTCGCGCCCTTCGTCTTTGCATCCTGCCTTCCTGCTCCTCCCCCTCCCTCCATTTCCTCGCTGCTCTTCCTGCACTTCGTCTTCACATCCTTCCCTCCTACTCCTCCCCCTCCCTCCATCTCTGAGCTGCTGTTCCTGCCCTTCGTCTTCACATACTGCCCTTTCGCCTCTCCCCCTCCGTCGATCACCTCGCTCCTCTTCCTGTCCTTCATCTTCGCATCCTGCTCTCCCGCTCCAACCCCTCACTTCATTTCCTCGCTGTTGTTCCTACTCTGAGAATCCCTCCTGCATCTCCCCCTCCCTCCATCTCCCCACTGTTTCCCCCCTCCTGCTACTCCCCCTCCCCCCATCCTCTCCCTCCGTCCATCTGCTCGCTGCTCTTCTTCGTGTATGGTCATCCCACTTCTCCCCCTCCCTCCATCTCCAAGCTGCTCTTCCTGCCCTTCCACTTCTCCCCCTCCTTCCATCTCTTTTTAAAAAAAAAACACTCACCTTGATTGGCCATCGCGACACGGTCTCTCACACCTCCAACCCGCTTTCATCACCCTCGTGAACTGCTGCATTTCTTCCTCTCGCCCCTCCGGTAGATCTCCTTCGTTGGCCGCCTCAAACTTTCTTTGAAGCAACACGCGATCTGTCCCACCTTTTCCAACCCGCTTTCGTCAACCTCGTGAACTCGTGCGCGATCCTCCGACCCGTGCACACACCGGCGCACATCCAGGTATGCCATCAACCTCCTACTTACACCCGCACACACACCAGCGCACATGCACGTATCCTGTGCACGCATACCACCCACCTGCGAACGGCCCTGCACGTCTGCCACCTCACCCATGCATCGCACCAACCAGGTCGTCAACACTATCGATCTCGTACATGCACATATGCCACCAACCACTCATACTCACACCCTCACACACACCAGCACACATGCATGTATGCCGTCGACCTCGTACTCACACACTCAAACACACCAGCGCACATGCACGTATCCTGCGCATGTATAGGCCCCTCACCCCTCGACGTTCGTGTCCTCAGGCAGTCTCCTCCCCCGGCTCGCTACACTATGTCGCCCTTCTCTCAATCGCACTCCTGGGTGGCCGTGCTCGCTTGCTCGCGACGGATCCAAGCAGCGCTGGTCCGTTTCAATCCGGCCATGGCCCAGAAACTTTGTGGCATGCACCCTCGGGTTGGGCCCGACCTCTGCTATTGAGAAACTTCGCGCCGGGCCACGCCCATCTTCGAGACGTGCCACAACGCGCAACTGGTTCCCCCTGCCCTAACAAAACAGGGCCTGCCGGAAAAATGGGTCCGCGGCCCCAACAAAAAAGCGCCTGGCGGAAAAATGGGTCCGCGGGCCCACACGGCGGCGCCCGGTTTCTGTTGGGCCCGTCACGCGAGACCCTCTTCTTCCCTTAGAGTATTAGAGAAAAAAAGTCAGTGTTAGAGCAAATGCAAATTCAGCCACATTTAGTTTACTGTATGTGGGGCATTGTGGGATAAATGACATACAGTTTGCCTTGCTTGTGGCAAGAAACGGTTATTGATATTCAAAAAATTCAAATTTCATGCCCACTATTATTGGTCATGGCTGTTACCCAGCGGGGGGGCGGGGAGGGGGGGAGAATAGCAGAAACCTTGAGATTGGGCAATTCAAGGTTTGATATCTTGGATATAGCATGCAGAAGTCTCAAGCAGAAAAGTTGAAAAAACATATGAACTGGTTTGTGAGTGGATGCCAGGGCAAAGTTCCAGAAGCGCTAGCTATGCTGTGCAGAGGTAGGGCAACTAAAAATGTTTGTTCATTTGTATCGGTTAATGAAGCCAGTACATGTTCTGCTCAAGTCTCTAGCTTGACCTTCGCACTAAATGCTCAAGTCTCTAGCTTGACATTCGCGCTAAATTCATCTGATTGACTATTACATTTGTTCAGATTCCAGATTACGGTTTAAATGTGTTCTACGGAGATTTGAACAAGAACCTCGGGAGGCGATCAACTTTCCTTTAGCATCACGAGGTTTGTTTGTTAAGAGAACAAGAGGATGAGATATCCTACCCTCAAACTAAGGATGTCTGATTTTCCTATCAACCAGGCAGTGTGATTGGTTTATCCCCTTTTCTCAATGGCATTATCAACTTTTGAGAAGTTTTGAATTTCCTGAGACGTAAATTGCTGACTGTGTGGCTGGCATCCGTGACCAAGGAAAATGTCTCTCTCCTGCTATTCGCCTTTCCTGAGACGTAAACTGCTGACTGTGTGGCTGGCGCCTGTGACCAAGGAGAATGTCTTTCTCCTTCTATTTGCCTTTTGCTGTTCTTATTCACGAGTTTTTGTGGTTGCCGAGGACTACACCCTTCTTCCGTTGAGCAAGCAGCACAGCACAAGTAAAGTGCCATCATAGTCAGTGCCTTTCACTGAACCTAGCAACAGAATAATGGGAATGCACGAAGGACTTAGCCAGATCTTGAATTTTAGTCAGATCTCAATGAATTTCTCTTACTTTCTCGAAGCATAGCCGGCAAGCATAGACGTTCAGATCCGGGGACTTAGTACCTTTCCCTGCTTGAAAAACAAATATGCGCCGGTTAACACGGCGCGGTCATTCTTTGGCCACCTGGTAGCTACCCAACGACTGGGCAAACCAAAAAAATCGAAAAACAAATGAAAAATGAAAAAAAAAAGAAAAACGATGAAAACTAGCAAAAAACATAGAAAGGGGCACGAGAGAGAGAGAGAGAGAGAGAGAGAGATAGAGAGAGAGAGAGAGAGAGAGAGAGAGAGAGAGAGAGAGAGAGAGAGAGAGAGAGAGAGAGAGA